GATGTAGCAGTACATGGCCATAGAAACTCAGCAGAATCTGTGAGGAAAAAGAACAAATCTGAAAAGATTCCTTTGAAAGTATAGCAAATGTGAAGACAAAACATTGCTAAAAGAGTAGGTTGCCATAAAACAGTTGTATAAATAGTAAGCAGTAGGAATAATGGGAAATATTACTAGTTCTGACCTGATGTAGAATCATGCAAGAAGTGGGTACACAGTTTCTTGACTTCAGGCAGGTTGACAGGCAGTAGATACTTAGGAATCAATGGAACTTACATGTTGACTTGCAACACAGTAAAAATAAACCCATGCATAATATATACATATGTAAAAATAAAAGTTTGGGAAACTAAGATGGGTAGATCACTATGTTGATTAGACCTGCTGAAATCCAAAATAAAGATGTTTTCAAATGCTGCACTGGGTTATGGCAGTAAGTATTGGTAGATGTCATCACTAGTGATCATCTTGCATCTTAATGAGCCCTTCAAACCATTTATTGTCACATGAAAGAACTGAAGAGTGCCAGACATAGCTGATAAAGACTGAAAGTGGGCAGTTTTGACTCCTGTGCAGTGACTGCTGATTTTCTGTATTGTTGAGGTCATTGTGGTTTTCAGTAGCCATGTGCCGTGGGTCTGCTGTTTGCACTGTGAACCCATAAGTTCAATCAATTTGAGGCTTGGATATGCATGTTTTCTTACTCTGGATTATAACAGGGCTTTCTGAAAAAACGTTCCCTGCAAGAAGCTGAAATTCTACGCCGGCTGTACACTTCATCTTTCCCAGACCTGTATCACTTCAGTATCCAGGCCTTGGAATACAAAATAGAGATGCTGGAGGCCTTTGTGATCATGCAGAGTATTAGTATGCTGAAGGGGCTTATTCCCCTGAAGGTAAATAAAATATCTTTATTGACATTTTAGGTAATGTCATTTTGTATTTTATGTCTATGTAGAGGAGAAAGAAGCATCTTGGAAGCCCTAAGAACTGAAATTATCATGAAGATGAGTAACTTAGTTTTTTGCTCTTGGAAAATGGCAGTTAGGATAAATTGCTTCTATTTCATTTAATTTTTGTAGTGCTCTTCTTATACCTTTTTAGATTTGACAATATTAAGAACTGTCAGGCAGCATCAGACAATTTCCCTGAACTCAGTCACTGAGTGGCATACAGAAATAATAATGGACCAGAGACCTTTTGTTTACAACTTGTTTGGCTACAGACCAGTTTGTTGAATGTGGTGACAAAAAGCTAATATCTGGATTTTTTTTTTTTTTAAATTCTATTGAGTGACCCACTGAAATTGACTTCCCATTGATCTATTCTAAAGCCTTCTAAAGGTCAGTTCTCTTAAGTATTGAAAAATGCAATAACATAACACCAGGAAAAAAAATCTTGCTTCAAGGCTGTTTAAGTTAAAAGCCTCTCCTTATTCCACTTTACCAAGGGGAAATTCCACTCAAAATACTTCTTGTTGTAGATATGATTGGGGAAATTTCATAGAGGCTTTTTGAAACAGAAAAATATTTGGTAGGTCGGACTGAAAATTTTGAGGCGGTCTATAGATTTTGACAACTTTCCATGAGAGTTTTTTAGGTCCAGAAAGTTTCACTGACAACTGGGGAGACAGTGAGCAAACACTCAAATGAGATTTTTAGTTTGTTGATTGGAGAACCCAACTGAGATACAGGAACCTCAGAGGAATCTCTTGTCCAAGTCAATTCAGTGAGCTGAAAGATTGTCTGTAGCACCTGCTTGAGTTTCTTGACAGTCTCCCAATCTCTTTGGAGATTTTACTTGGTACTGCATAAATATTAACCAGGTCATTAAATGAAACTGAAGCATGAGTTAGAGTGCTTAATTTGACAGTTGGAGATGCAACTTGACCCATATTCTGCTTCTCTAAATTCTATTGACTAGAAACTCTTCAGCAAGAAAGTGTGGGGCACCTACTACACTTTCCACCCTGGTCATTGGGACATCCACACAGAATTTGCCTAAATGGCATAGCAAGGACTTGAACCTAGTTCACTGAGTGCAGGGATGGCAATCAATTACTCTTCCTTTTTTTCCTGAAGCAACATTGTCAGGTCTTGGTATTTGCAAAACGTGAAAATGTTCGTAACCTCCATCCCATGGATAGTAAAAAGTGTCCTTGCCTATCTCTCTCTATCCTTCTATCAGTACCTCATAAAATAGCCTAATTTCAGACTAGTTTGGAGATTGTGGGAGGAGTGCATGCATTCTAGAGGCAAAAATGGCCCAAATACAATGGCTGTGCAAGAAACCACCTTTGGTTTTTAAAGCAGGATCCTGCTTGATGGACACTTCTGATCATATTTTTGGCAGCATGTCACGGGGAAATGTGTGACAGGGCAGGCTGACAATTTCCAGAGCAATCTGTTTTGTTGGTCAATACTTAACTTTTTAAATTTTTTTTTTTATCTGGACTAAAAGCAAAAAGCAGCTAGGGTAGAGCTTAGAGCACTGTTATGAAGTGATCACCTACACAATTCATCTAAAGTTCAGGCAAGCTGGGGATGTAGATCTACAGAGAGAGTTCTTAAGAGGAGTAGGCCAAAGACCTAAAATAGAATGATGGACCCCCACACTAAGAAACTTTGTCTGGTCCTAATCCTTTAGGAACAAATCGGTAACTTGATGGTAGAGTTGGCATACTGTAATTGCCTATACAACAAAATGTGTTTGCAGACTTGTAGAATGAGGCTATTCACATTTTTTCTTCAGGTTTCTGTGGAGAACTGGGTGAGCATTTTGTTATATCTTTCTTTCTTAGTATATACTTCTCTAAAGTGTAGAAAATGAACTATAGTATAACTCATTATTTATGAAGTGACCCTAGTATAGAAATTTCAGTAAATCCAAAGCTAATGATTTGCAATCTGACATAATGATCAGATTCTCAGAGTTAGGTGTCCTTTTTTCATGGGAGACTATTAAGCCATTAAAACCCAAAATGCCCATCATTCAGGAGCAAGGAGGGGAGATTACTTCAAAGCACTTGGAAAGGCTGTACATCTTTTCCCTCATGTGGAGTGTTGGAGCATTACTGGAATTGGAAGATAGATGCAAGATGGAGCTCTGGCTTCGGAATCACAGCACAATACAACTTGATCTCCCTCATATCCTGGAAGGCAGTGAAGATACCATGTTTGATTACTATGTGACTCCTGATGGTTAGTAACCTGTTAGCAAATTTCAAGTAACATTTTAAAGAGAGACAACCTTGAAAGGGTGTACATCATAAGGTTCTTTACATGAAATGCTTGTTCCTGGGTCCCTTGCTAACTTTTGTTCAACAAACAAAACTCAGTTGCTTTAAATAATAAAGCATTCTTGTATTGTCAGAGAGTCAAACAAGGCAATCTGTGTAAGGCAGGGGTGCTCAACATCTGTCCTCCAGGTCCATTGCATCTGGCCTCCAGGGCTCCCCATGGGTCTGGAAATTTGGCAGTGGGGGAGTGGTGGCTATTAGTACAGCTAATGACTGTACTAATATTGGCTATTAGTCCACCCTCTCCCTTGCCAAATCCCCAAACTGCATTCCATATGTGGTCAGAGCCAAGCTACTCCCTCTTCCCCTATAAGGCCAGGCCATGCCACCACTCTGGTTCTAGATTGGGGCTGGGCCAAACCCCCTTCCCTTCTGCAGGGCCAAGTTGGGGCCTGGCCATGCTCCCCTCCCTCTCAAGGCTGGGCCATGCTCCCTTCCTTCCTGTTAGGGCTGGGCCAGCCTGCCTTCAACCCCCCTGGCCTCTGCACAGCCAGATGGTTCCCACTGTGCCAGTGCCAGATCAAGCGATATCTGGATCCAACCTGTGGGTGGACTAGCCACTGCCAATCTGGCTTACTGGGAAAAAGGTCGGGTGCCACTGGTGCAAGGCATCAGGTACTGTGTCTGTGTACTGTCTAAAGAATATTTGTCAGCAAGCTGGATGATTGCTTTGGCTGTCACCGTAATATTAAGTGTCTTTCAAATAGAGAAAATTCTTTCCCAGGGGTTTTGAGAGGAGTAGAGCTCTAGGGCAGTAGTTTTCAAAAGTTTTCACGCTAGAAGCCATTGGCATTAGGGCTGTGCGAAATTTTATTGGGTATTTCATTTCAAATCTGTTTTGATGCTTTTTGAGCTTGAAACAGCAAGATGAAAACAAAACAAAAGCCTTCAAAACAGCTTTGAAATGAAACATTTCAAAAGTTTCAAAATGCTTTGGATTTTGAAGTTGGGCTTACTTGGCTTCAGCTCCAGTCCTAGCTGGCAGCAGTAGCCTCTCGTTATCCAGCGCAGATCTGGGAGCTGTGCCCCCTGGGAGGATTCTGGCACAGACCCCAGCTCTCCCGGGGTTGCGGGCCTATGGATCTCTGTGCTGGATGACAGCATGCTGTTGCTACCAGCTGGGGCCAGCGGCAACACCAATCTTAGCAATGCTGGGTGTAGGCTGCGCCCTGTGCCAGTCCCAGCCAGCAGCAGCAGCAGCCTCTTGTCAAGCGGCAGGCAGATCATGGACCTGCACCCCTGGAAGGAGTCCGGCACATCCCCGCAGCCCTCCTGGCGGTGCAGGTGGGCCTCCAATCTGCCTGCCAGATCACAGGAGGCTACTGCTGCTGGCTGGGGCCAGTGGCAGTACCAGTCTTCTCGGTGCTGGGTACAGGCTGCACCCAGCGCTGGTCCTGGCCATCAGCAGCAGCCTCCTGTCAACCGGCAGGCAGATCAGGGGCCCACATGCCTGGGAGGAGTATGGCACAGGCCTACAGCCCTCTGGAGGGTGCAGGCCCCTAGATCTGCCTGCCAGATGACAGGAGGCTGCTGCTGCCGACAAGTGACAGTTTTGCTTGTCAACAACTTGAGGTGCAGTTTCCCAGAAATCTCCACACCTATCTCCTTGAAACTTGGCAGACTTTATGCCCACAGAAAGGGCTACTGTCCCTGCAGGTTTCATCCAAAGCAGGCAAGAAATGATAGTTATAGGCAGTTTCGTGCTTCCCCATTATAACCTATAGGCGAAACATTGAAACAGTTCAGACAAAACGAAACAGAACAGTGCTTTTGAAACGAAACACTGTTCCATCAAAATGGAAGTTGAAGCGGAATGGTGCTGTTTTGCGCAGACTCAGTCACAGTCAGTTTTCCCCCCCCGCCCCTTCCCCTCCAGCTGCTGTATCTGGCCCCCTCTCTCTGCTTTATGCTGCCCTGCTGTGTGTTTGCCCACCCCTGCCCAGCTGTGCGCTGGCTTCATACAGTCTTGCAGTGTTTCCCTCAGATCTCCCTGTGACCCACTCTTGGGGCACAACCCACAGGTTGAGAAACGCTGCTTTAGGAGATAGGATTTACTTCTGAGGCCCTGTAGGTGATGATATATTTGTGTGGCAGTGCACTGTGTGTGCCTGCCACTTGCAACCAGTGGGTTGCGTAGCCCCGGTGTGAGGGGGCGGTAGTGTGAGAGGCCCTAGTGTTTAGGGGGCCAGCAACAAGGAGCCCGAGAGGGGCCGTACATCGAGCCGGGTAGAAGGCCAGCACAACAATAGGCCTTGAGGGGGCAGGGTCCTGCGGTAGTCAGCCCGAAGGGGAGAGTACCCTCGACTGGCCTATGCTGGGGCCAGGACCACGAGGTCAAAAGGGCCAGGGGCCCACCGCGAGGGACGCCCAAGAGCCGGGGGCCTGGGGTCCCGACTGGCCTTGAGGTGGGCCAGGGCAAGACGCCGAAGGTTCCAGGGGAACCACACCTGAGAGGGGAAGATAGCTTCGGGAAAAGGGGATAGCAGGACGGTAAGCCCAGTTGAGAGGATAGCAGTGCATGGGGTCTAAAAGACCGGAGGCTCGAGAACATGGGGAGCCCCAGTGTGAGGGGGCAGCGATGAGGAGCCCCTGTGTGAGGGGGCGGCCCCAGCGAGGGGGTGGTGATGATTTAAGGAGGGGAGGTGTGTGGCAGAGCACAGGGTGTCTCTGCCACTTTAAGGGCCTGGAGCTGGCAGCCTCCAGGTGCCTGACGAGGGCAGCCATTTTG